CTCTCTCTCTCTCTCTCTCTCTCTCTCTCTCTCTCTCTCTCTCTCTCTCTCACTCTCTCGCGCGCAATCTATCGCACTCCATCGCGTTCTATCATTCAACCTGCTGCCAACCTCGAACCGAATCCCTCTTATTTACAACGTGGAACGATCTCTCACCCATTCTCGCGTTACCCTACGATAAAACACGGTCTACGCTCGGTCGCTGTTCATCGTTCGCTTAGAATCTCGATTGTCCGAATATTTACAATCACGCGTTACGAACGATCGGCACCCGCCACACACCCACACGCACGCATACCCTTTACGTATTTACACCGACGACGATACGTTCGGTGCAGCGGACGTTGCAACGCGTCGGAGGGAAGGAACGACTAGGCTACTCTTGGAAGAAAACGATTCCTTCGGAGAAACAGCGTTGCCTCGCGACTCGTATATCTTGGCACGCTCCGTCGATCCCTTCGATTCGTCCGATCGTGGACCGTCCCGACCCGTTGCAACGCGTGCACCGTCCAACTGTACACTGTACACCGTAGATTGCTATGTACAACGAGACCGCGATCTGCGAAACGATCGCGGACTCGAGCTCGAGGCCTGACAGTGGCCGAGGCACCTCGAGAATACCGATTTGGGACTAGACGCGCGTCCCCGTCATACGTCTACGAAGCTCCGTGAACCTGGAACCGTCGAATCCGTGCCTGCACCGACTCGCACTGCACTTCGCTGTACCTGGTGTACCTACCGGCCCTGACGGGCTCGCGGATCACCACGAAATTGCCGCCCCTTTCGCGGAGCGCTTCCAGCCCGGTCTTCCCGTGAACCGCGGGCGGACTCGAGAGCTTCGCGATCTTCGCGTTCGGAGTTTCCGACGTGAACCGGCTGAGAGCTTTGCTCACGACTCCGTTGCACTCCCTCGGCCACGCCCTCGGATGATGCTGATGATGATGCCTCTGCTCCCATCTGTCCGACGACACCTCGGTCGCCGTGAACGGGTAACTAGCCCTGCCCTGGCTCTTCCCGAATAATATACAATCCAGCGAGTCGTCCGAGTAGATGCTGCTCCGGTCGCTCGAGCTGTCCGTCGAGATCTCGGAGACGGTGTCGCTGCCGCTGTCGCTGCACTGCTGCTCCTCGCCCAGAATGAAGACGGGCGTGCATTTGAACACCTCCCCGGCGGGCATCGTGTGCGTCGCCGTCGCCCTTCTCTGCGTCACGGTGGTCACGGCGCTGGAGTTGCTGCTCGCGACGCTCGTGCGCATGGAGGAAGCGGGCTCGATTATCACGATCTCCGCGCCGGAAAACTTCTGCGCCAGCGAGTCCATGTTCCTCTTGAAGGTGTCCCTGCGGTCGGGGCTCAGACCGAACCGGATCGGCTTCGCGGATAACTTTGACTTCGAGTACAAGTTCTCCGTGTGCGAGGAGACCGCTCGCGTCGCCGTCGTCGACGACGACGCGGCCACCGACGGCTTCGTTTCCGCGACCTGACACGCGTTATCGGTCGCCGACCTTTGGTTGTGTTTCTCCGTGTCCTTCTTCGGCGTGGACGAGATCGCCGACAGCTCCGTCGCAGCGGCGGCGGACTTCACCTGCGACTTGGCTTCTTGAGGGGACGCGGTCGCGCTCGTGTTTTTCGTCTCCATCGCTGCTTGATCCAGCCCCGGGCAAGAGAGAGGCGGCTGAGGATCGTCGAACATGCTGAACCACGAGTGTTGCAGGCACTCGGTGACGGTCAGGCGCTCACTGTAAGGCAAACGAGGGTTCGATTAGAACGATCTTGTTCGTCTTTTTCTTTAGAAAGTATCTCCTCGCCGTGGACCGTGTATCTCGAATAACGCGATCGCCGCGTCCCGTCCGGTCGCGCCTTTCCGATCGGGCGACGTCGCGACTTCCGGCACGAGCCGTTGGATCTGCTGCCTTCGGTAACGGGTCGACTGGTTGCGCAACGTACGAAGACAGACCGGAGTGAACGGGAAACGACGGTCGAGACGACGGCGAGGACGACGGGGCGACGAGGAAGAGGGAACGGCGAATCCACAAGGTGCGAGGAAAATCGTCGAGATAGAAGGGAAAAGAAGTAAGGAGTAAGCGCGAGTTACGGTACGGGTACTCGTGACGATAAACCGAAGCCGCGACAAGATAAACCCGACGTCGGCGATGGAAGGGCGCGGATATTCCGGATGGGGACTTCCTCCCAGCTGTCCGACTGGTCGACGATAAGGAAATCTACGAGTTTTTCAGCGGAACTCGTTCCGCGCGTGCAACGTCCCTCTTCCCGTTTCGAAGAAAGTCGTCGCGCACTGGAATGCCGATCGTATCGCTTCCACGTACGCGTCCACCGATGCAGGAAGTCGAACGGGATCGGGTTTCGAGAGTTCGCAACTTCGGGGATGATATCGCGAGGTACGCGGAACGTTCGAGCGTCAGCCGCGGATCCGTGCCCGGCGAAATTTCCGTGATTCGCCAGCTGCCGGCGTTCACCGGGAGGACAGCGCGCGAATCTCGGCCGAGTATTATCGAGGCGCTACCGAGAATTCCGGCACTGGTTAAAATAATGCTTTCGAGGAAGCGTGTCGCGGGCTACCGGGAACGTTTACAGCTCGCCGTCGCGTTACCTCGAAGCGAAAGAAGATAGGCCACGACGAGTCGCAGGGCGACGCGAGGATCTCGGGAACATTGTTAGCCCGGCTCGCGAGCCTAGGCGTTATTTAGCTTCTAGGAACGAAAACGATCCGCCGCGTTACAAGACGAACGCGATCGTTGGATCGTGACGTTCCGACTGAAACGTCCGAGCAACGGTCCGTCGCGTTGTCCCCGTCGACCGACCGATCGGCGCCGGCTGAAGTACTGATCGGGTTGCTTACTTTGGATCCTTGATCATCAGCTTGCGCATCAGATCCCGCGCGTCCTCCGACACGTCTTCGAACAGATCGTCGGGAAAGTCCAGCCGACATCTACTGATGTTGCAGAACGTTTCCTGCTTCGTGTCGCCGCCGAACGGCGAGCATCCCGTTAACAGGACGTACAGCAGCACTCCGACGGACCACATGTCGGTCGCCAGGCTGATCGGCTCGTAGTTTAGGACCTCCGGGGCTGAAAGGTGGCAAACAACGGCGCGTTAGAAGGATCGACGGAGAACTCGGGGAACGCGACGACGGGGCGGTGTACTCACCAACGTAGTCGGGTGTTCCAAGTATCTCTCGTATGTCCGCGCCGTGGCTGATGTATCGCGAGATCCCGAAATCGCACAGCTTCACGTCGCACTCGGGGAAATCGCCCGTAAGGACCAAGTTTTGCGGCTGCAAACGAAAAAGAGAGCACGGATTCAGTACCCGCGGAGCGTTCGTGCCGCGGCGGCGACCGATCGGACGCGATCCGGTGCACAGTACCATGTACGACTCTGAGATTCCGTTCGATCGAAACGAGTTCGCGTGCCCGACGCATAAACCCGGCTAAATCCTTCGGCCGAGAAGTAACCCGAACGGACGAGCGATCCCTCTAATTATCAGGGCTGAAGCACGAGGGAAGACGAAAAATTCACACGACTACCGATCCATCCGTGTCAGGTTAATTATCCTAACGTTTACGAGTGCTAGGGTTAGATCTCGAGGCTACGGTAGGCTGCAATCGTCGCAGACCGACTTTTTGTCCGTAATTCGCGTTACGAGAGCACAGTTAGCGGTCGTTAAGCGTTTTCCAATGATTACGACCGGCGGTTAATTCAAAGTGTCGAATAAATGCCGATTCCTCGTTCGCTCGCAATTTCGCTCGCTAGAAATGCTACTCTTCGAAGATCTGACTTCCGATGATACTAACCCTTTGCACTCGGAAGTCTCGCTAGAAATATTCAACATTCTTCAATAAGTTATACCCGACACTTCTTGAAACGAACTGAGTGAACATAAGTTAAGAACCAAAGTTGCTACTTCAATGTTTCACATATTTACAGATATTAATATTAATATTCTGTGTAAGACTGCAATTTCGGTGTACCGACTGGTGACGGAGTCACTCTCGAATGCAAAGGGTTAATCTCCTCGTTTCCGAGGTTTACAGACATCCGAGAAGCCAAATAGATTCAGTAGACACCATAAAGCTGGCTTTTTAGCGAAATGTCACCTACTTCGCCGATCCAGCACACCGTGCGACGGGACGGAAGCCGAACAGGGCGAGGGGACAGGCCGGCCACGAGGAAGGTATCGTAGCGTGTTGATTCGTTCCGCTAGTGGATTCGGTTTGCACGTTACGTTTCGTTATACCGAGTTACGAGTCGGACGTGACCGGACTGCGTCGACGTCCGACGCGAATCACGTGATTCAAAAGTGGCCGAACAACGCCGAGGTCGTGGAACGTTTCGTTCGTGGCCCGTTTCTCCTTTCAAAAGTTGTGCCGTTGATCGGTCGAGCCTCGTCCGGCGAGTCTCGGCGGAACACGTGACGGTGCTACCCTCGTTCCTTTCAATATTTTACGAGTTTCGGACCAGGGGCAAACAGCGGTCGTCCGTCTTCAGCTGAAAACAGCTCGCGACGAGACGAGTCGAGACGAGTCCGCGGCGGTTCGACGAATCCCGGAAGGCGTTCAATAAGGAACAAAGACATTTCCATAATTAGTCGTTACGAGGTTCCTGCGTCAGCGGCGCTACGCGATCCTCGACGAGAAGCCGCGGCGTAGGCGTCGCGTCGGGATCGATTATGGAGAAAATGATTGCGACGCGCGCACGCACGCACGCACGCACGCACGCTGGCGCGATTCACCTTGGCAAATAGGATAATCGCGGGGGATACGCTCGTTTCCTCGTCGCGTCGGATACGTAAATATTTACCGGCGGCACGCGTCGATCGATCCGCGCGAATCGAGCGCGTTTTAGGGTACGAGCCTCCTCGTCTCGCGTTCGCACGGCCGCTTTCTCGGGGTGAACGATCCGATGGAATTCCCGAGCGAGGAATCGCACCGGCTAGACCGAACGTCTCTATCGATGCCGTGCTCTCGCGTGCCGCGTCGAACAACCTCCGCGACTAGGAAACTGTAACGGGCGAGCCTGCCCGTTCCTGCGGCTCGGTTTCTCGGATGTCGCCGTTTAAAGTGGAGCTCTCGCAAAAACTGCAGGAAGGACGTAAGCCATTAAATCAGGGTTAGCCGTCGGCCGGTGTTCTCGAAATAAGAACGTAGCCCGAGGTTGATTCTCACGATGCGGCGCATCCGACGGCGACGGGCCGTAAGTCTTCCTCGCGGACGGTAAGCCTCAACGGCGGAGGAAGGTTCAGCGTCGAACGGACACCGCGCGGCGAAAAACGCTCGCAATTTCCAGGCGATGCGGATAAACGCGTCGATGAGGATAATTATAAGCGTCGCTCGTTCCGTACCCGTGGCGATCTCGATCCAGCCGATTCTTCCATTCCGGTCGCGTGGAACGCGCGGCTCGCTCGCCGGGCAGAGGAGATCGCGCGAAAACGGCCGCGCGTAGCTGGAAGCCAGAGAGCGCTTTTTAGCGAACGGACAACGAATTTATGAGGATCCGTCTCTCGCGTTCATTGAAACTTCCGGCGGTTGAGTAAAGGGGGAAGCGACCCTAGGGTACGCGCCGCGCAGACACGCAGCGCGATGCGTTCGTGTTCGCTCGTTGCGGCGAGCGTGAGCGTGGACGTGCGCGCGGCACGAATGTAATAAAGTTCGGGAGGGAACGAGCGAGGGAGTCGCGGCTACGACCGGCCGATATGGACGAGAGGAGGATTTATGCGTCGCAGAACCGTCTTTCGATCGATTTATCTTCGAGCCAACTGGTTTCCATGGAATCGCGATTATTTTCTCTTCACGGACAATCCGATCTCTAGAATTAAAAGCTTATCGGTCGTTTATTGCCGTTCGATGCGAGGAGTGAGAGCGGGACGAAAGGCGGGCTGCTGGTTTCTCCAGCGACGAATGAAACGTCGGATCCGTTTTCCCTGATCGAGCGCTCGTCGACGAACGCGCCGCGTGGGAGGAACGTTGCACTTCGAAATAAAAAGTACTTATAGTGAAATATAAATCTGGTTATTTGATCATTTCGGCGGTCCTTCGCGTTCCTGTTTCCAACAACATTGTTTTCTTGGTTGATACTTTTGAATAGTTTATAGAATCGCTAACACTTCAGTAATTCAACGACTTTTTGTAATAATTTACACATTCACATTCTGAATCAATAGACAAAGTTTCACTTTCCCCATAAGAGATACCTATCCAAGGGTAGTTTCTCATCTTACTAAAAGAAACTAAGATCAGAATCAAATTCTACGATCCCAAAGCGCCTAGAAGCAGATGATTCCGTAACGATCGATACAAAAATAAGAGAAACAAGAATTTAGTCCGGGTTTTTGCGATTCTGGCCCACAGTGCGTCGCCGTCGCTGTCTCCGGGCGGCTCGACGATCCCATTAACGGGCCGATGAATCGATTTCATCGAGAGCGCCGCGTCAGCTCGCCTAATGAACGAACCGGCAGACGCGTGCATCGATCGAGGGAGCGCGAGCCACTGACCACGGCTGAAATGGAATTCTCGGTACGAGACCGATACTCTCCGAGTGCCAAGGCTGGCTCGAGAGTCCATTGATGAATCTGTCCCTTTCTCTGCGGAGGTCGATCGCCTCGGTTCCCTAGAAGATCCCCCGTGGTCTATGGTTTCTTTGATCCGCGCGCGACGCGGCGCGACGCGATGACGGTTTCGACGCTCCCGGCGATTTTAACTCGCCGCGACGGCGCGGGCATCGAAGCGAGAACGCGCCGGGACTATCGGCGATTGAACCGCGCTCGGTTTTGGCATCGTTGGAAATGCCGCGTTATTATCGCGTGCCTGCGAAGTCGACAAACCGTACAACCGGTCGTTTGCCCGACGTTCGGAGAGCGACGGCATTCCGCGAGTAGAAACGCTACTCGATTCCCGCTCTCGAACACTGCCGCGCGATAGCCGCGTCGACAAGTATTAGAAACTCTTTTCGCCGTAACGCGGATCCCGCATGAATCGGCGCTCGATGCGCTTTACGCAATCGGTTCCCGTCCATTTAATCGAATCGCGGTCTATAATTATCGGCGCGCGCTAGGTCGCGGATAGGAGGCCGATGCTCTAGCGGCGCGAATCCGATTTCGGCGGCGCGGCGCCCGAAACCTCGTGGCCGGCGTCCAACGGGGGCCTCGCTTGGAACCGGGCCAAAGAATCCGCGTGCATTTTTCCATTCATAACCGCGGGGATCTATATTTGGGTCAACCGCGTCGCGTGAATCCGCGGCGCGGCGCTATTTTCGGACGGGCCGGAGCGCCGTGTCGATACTCTTCGACTCTTCGCTCGAGATTCGTCCGGCAACGCGCTCCGAGGAGAGAGATCGGAGTGCGCCCGCGGAGAGGCCAAGGAACGGAGCGTCGTTCGTCGATTTTCCTTTCGAAACGGGCGCGAGCGTTTCCATTCGGCCACGCTCTCGCGATCTCACGCTCCCGAGAACTACGAAACGAGCCGGGGGATTGTGGGTCAACGATTGGCAGCCGCGAATTTTCGTCGGCGGGGCCCCGCGACTGCGGCGACGCCGGGAACCGCAGCCTAGTTACCTGGTTGCCGTATAATCGGGTCGTTTCGCGTACCTAGAACGGGCCGGGTTATCTTATCGGTCGGAAAACAACTCGATAATTCCGACGGATGCTTAATCGTCGCCGGTGGTATCGGAACAGAGGAGCCGATAACGGCCGGAGTAAAGGACGCCGTTCGAGCGGGGCTCGGCGCGCGGAAGATAATTTCACCGCGCTCCGAGAGCCGAGCGGTAATTTAATTGACCGCGATTCGACGGCTCGCGTAGAGAGCGAATTTGAAAGAGCGACGCTTCGCGGCTCCTCCCCCTCTCCTCCTCTGGGCGGCGTATACCTGGTAACCTGCATCCCGGTAAATTGCTATCAATTTGCGAAAGGCAGGTAATTGGGTTGCGTAACCGCGATCATAATTCGAGCCGCGTTATGGAGAGGAAAAAAGGAAAAGAAGGAGGAAGGCTGAAATACGCGACCCGCAACGCGTGTCGCCGGGAGAGTATTATTAATACGACTCGCTCGCCTTGGCTCACCCATATCGATCACTCCGATAATCGATAAACGCGTATACATGCGCGCGCGCCCGCGTACGGGTAGATCTACGCCCCAACCGCGTCGATCTCGCGTCGCAAATTGCAAATTGCGAATCGTCGATACCGCCAAATAAGAAAAACCTCTTGTCCCGTCGGTTAGCGCGCGTGTGCATCCAGCTTCGTGACGCGAGTACGAAGCGCGCTCAACTGTACATCGGCTGGAAGATGTATCGCTCCGCTGCGAGACTTTCAGCGTAATTTAAACCCGTTTTTATTGGCAAAATCGAGATTTATCGGTTGGCGAGGTAATTATGCAAATACGACGGTTCGTTTTCATTCTCCTCGCGGAATGAAGACTTTCCTCGCGGCCGGCTTAATTGAAAACCTAGGCGAGCCCGCGTCGCTTTTCTATTCGTTTTCCCCTGTATCATTTTCACGCGACAGAGACGGCGGAAACACATCGGACGGAGAGAAGATACATCGAGCTATTTCCGAGCGGAACGTCTCGCGGCGAGACGAGACTCCCTCGGGGTTGGTACAAAAATAATTTACTAGACGGCAGGAGCGCGGTGTATCGGCAACCGTTTCGGCGAAATTCCATCGCGATGAACGATTCTCTCTACGATCGTGCACGCTCCTCTTTCGCAGCCTGTCGGTGTACCGATGCGATTGTTTCTCGTCGGGAACAATGAGGCGACGCGTTACGAGACAACGAAACGTCGGAGCGTATCGCGAAAAAATGCGACCCCTTTTCCCCGGCGATCGAGGAACGCGCCGCGGCGCGCCGCTTTCTAGCGAATATTTGAATTCGCGAGAAAGTTGATTCACGAGGTAACAATGTGGTCTCGTCACCGAGTAACGCCGCGCGGAATTAACGCGTCTCTTTTCTCCGGTAATTGCGAGTCCGCGCGAACACGTTACCGATCATGCGACAGCGGGGGAGGGGGGGACAGCTGCGAAAATGGACGTTAACGATGCGAATCGCGTCGCGGAAATTTCGCGCTCGGCCCGACTTTTGGCAAAGATCACCGTATTACACGGATACTTTTACATAACAATTTAGGTCGTTCGCACCGACCGCGACGCGGAACACGTCCCGCCGCTGAGAGACTGCCAGCACCGCCTGAAACGTCGACGTTTCGTTGCCAAACCGTTTCTTTCTCTCCTCGATCCTCTCCCGGGGACTCTCTCGGCTGTTCACGGGACGATCCTAGGAGATATTAGACGCGGACAGCCCGTCTCGTTATCCGTGACGAGGCATCGGAGAAACGCGCACGCGTGCCAATTCCTGCCCGGGGTTTTTCAACTCCCCGGAAAAATCTCGATAAGCGTTATTTGCAGGAACGGCAATCTTTCAGCTCTTATCGAGCACTTTGTTGTTTTTCGCTGCCGCGAGATAAGAACCGAGAATACCGACCGCGATTCTACGTTCCGTCGAGCACGCGAATGCCCTCGCTTCCCAGACAATTTCCCCCGGGTACGTCGCGGCTTTCGAGGCTTACCTTGATGTCTAGATGGGCCACGTTCAGGGAATGCAGGAAGGCTATTCCGTCCAAAATCTGTCTCAGCAATCTGGCGACCTGTCGCTCGTCCGGGACCTCGTCTCTGTCCAGGATCATTTGTAACTCACCGCCGGGGGCCCTTCGGGGACAGAAAGAAACGCAACGCGGACGTTAGAACGGTCGAACCTCGTCGCGTTGCATTACATTGTTTGAAACTCAAAAATAGTCACGTTACGCATCGATCGATCCAATCAAACGCGAGCTACGATACTACAAAGTTGAAAAATTATCCTTGATAAATCTCAAGGTCCCATTGAATTTTCTGATAAAGGAAATTACTTTTCGCAATTTTATATACTGCTATGTATAGACGATAGAATACCATTTATCTTTTGTTTAAACAACCTTTTTGCCATGTTATCGTATACCTCTGAAAAATCGTGCTGCACAGATAACGATAAGATTACCGACCTCTCGTCCGTCATACTAATCAAGTTTCAACATCCTGAATTTCCCGAGCACGACTTCAAGAGTGTAAGAGTGCGCTTTTAAAATGGTATACTTCTGATAGGAGTAGAACAGACTGATTTATTAAACACGTCACACTAGAACAGCCCTTCGAGTAATACTTTATTTTCCAAAAAATGTTCCGCCGGTCGAACTTTGTAAGTTAGGGGTAGATATACAAGAGCGCCTTTGTGTCGAAAGCTTACGATAATATATAATTTAGTTACAATTATTTAGGAGCGCTTAATTACAGTCGTGGCTATAGGATCGCTAAAATCGCGTTGTCTTAGAATTCATCGCGACGGCGACGACTACTCGGGAATACTTACAATTCGAGAACCAAGACCATTTCGTTGTTGGTCTCGAAGACCTGATGAAGCGACACCAGCCGAGAACAATTCGCCGCAGCATCCAGCACCGCGACCTCGTGTAGCGCTTCCGCCTTCAATTCCTGCGCTCGTCTCCGCTTCCTCAAGAACTTGGCGGCCCACTGCCTTCCGCTGGACCTCTCCCGACATCTCCTCACCGTCGCGTACTTGCCCCTGCGAACAGAAACGTGTCGGACGCTTTAGAGCGGACCGTTGCGCAAACCGAGATTACGAATTACAGCGGAAAGAAACAACGCGCGGCGCGGTGCGACGATCTCGGCGCCGGCGAGTTGGCCAGATATTTTTTTCCCCGGGGGACCGTGACGGGTAACGACGTTACGAGTGAAGTAACGTTCCGCGAGGAGATTGCACGCGTAAACGCTTTACTTTCGCTCTCCCATTAGAGACCAGACGGACGCGCATACATTCTCCCCGATTTTCTGATTACGCTTTAGCGCACAGAAGTCCCGTAGCCGTACGCGCCGCAATTTTCCACTCCGTAAACGACGAGCGATCTCAGCGCACATTGTAGACGCCGTTCGAGAACGATGCATCTCCGATACGGAACGGCCGGAGATCGGAGTAATCCCGTGATCTAAACAGCCTCTAGAAAGCGAAGTTGCACCGCGGCCGCGGCCGCGGCCAATGCTCCTCGCCGACCGACTCTTTCCATTCCCGCGACCGAGCCCGAACCGAGCCCGAACCGAGCCCGCACCCAGCCCGAGCCCCGTGGAACAACGGTGAAAGCACCGCGGCTAAGATCGTCGATCGTCGATCGCGCGAACCTCGTTTCCTCCGAGCGCGTAGACGCACGCCGGGATCGTGATTAGTATACTAGCGCGGACACCGGGGGGGAGAGGAGGTTGGGACACGACAGCCGACGCGTAGCGAGTACTTCTGAAACAAGTTTTAGGTTACAAAGGACAGATGGTCCTTTGAAGGGATCGGTCTGAACGCGCGGCGTCACCGGGCGCGTCGTTAAGCGGTATTGTTCCGAGGACGATACCCCATCGAGCGGAGACCTGGAACGGAACGGGAGAGGTCGTAGCACGCGGAAAGCACGCTGCGCGTCGCTTTAATTATCGGCGGACGTAAAACTGCTAACGACCGCCGTTGACTTTGTGGTCGGGAGAGTTTTACGGTGGCGTGCAGCCGTGAGATCATCGATGGAATTATCTATCGGTGGCATTAGCCTGGATCGGCGGGGCTTGCTCGGCGAGGCTCGCCGGCAAAAACTCGCGCGATACCTTCGGTGATAAAGTTTGTTACTGTTCGCGTGCGCTCGGCTTAGAGATTTTTGTAGCTCGGCCGGGTTATACCAGCAGCGTGTTTCTGTTCTGGGTATCGGCGTCGACACTTTTCACGGGATAAACTGGTTGCGAGACCGACGTCGCGGAACGGCTTACTCGTGTCTCGCGGACGAGCATCGAGAGCCTCGTCTCCGTCGAACGGGGACCGCGTCGCGTCGCGTCGCGTCGCGTCGCGACTCGTCTACTTAGGTATGTAGGTTGGCAAACGCCCGATACGAGCCGCCGATCGTGGGCACGCTCTATCGAACGGACTCGGTTATCTCCGTTCTAATTGCAGACCGTTCCAGCGGCAGACTTGTCCGACGTTTCTTCGGCTGCGCGCCGGACAAAGGGGAGATACGAGATGGATCTCCGCGGGAGAAGAGAATCAAAGTTCGAGGGGACGATCGGCGGAGGAACGAGGACGAGCGTTTCAGGGAAAGCCCGCGAGAAAGCGATAATTGGCAGCCACGGGGACTTTCAATCGGTCGGGGATTTTAATTTCCGAACGACAATAACGCGGCGCGCAATCGTTGTCGACGTAACATCGAATTCACTGTTGCGCCATCGGATGGCGCGCGTTCCAGGAAGGTTTCTCTCGTCCCTGGATCCCTTCCAAGTTTTTCCGCTGGTCCCACGATTCGATTCGCTCTGTCCCGTGTGCGCGATCGGGGCGAGGAATGCGATCTCGCGCGGAGGAAAAAGCTCGATGCTCGTTTACGTAATCGTCGCGAACGCTAGGAAACAAGTTCAGAAGTCGAGGAAGTGAACGCAGCGGGCCGTGCTCGCTCGCTCGCTCGCTCGCTCGACTCGCGTCGTGGCTGCATTACTATGCGCGTGATCTCGATTTCCCTGGTCGAGCCCAGGTCGAACTCCCACGCTCCGTTGTTGTTGCCGCGCGTATGCACGATTCTCGTAAAGATCGCGCGTTCACCGAACAAATCGCATCCAGCTTCGAGCCTAATTTGTCTTGGAAATGCGATGCAACCGGCGCGTTGGGCAACGCGAGCGTTAGGCCTATTCTCGCTGGCCACCCCGAGCGAGTAATCGAATGACGAGGATGTTTCGTCGTGTTACTCCGCGCCGCGCCGCGCCGTACCGCACCGATTGCGCCGCAAGAAATTTAAATCGCGTTTCTCGCCGCGGAGAGGAGACACCTGCCGCGCGAGTCCCGGGAGTCGTCCGTTCCGTACAATTCCCTGGTCGCCGAACCGATACGTCGAAAGGACAGCTGCGCTGTGGCCAACAGGTGCCGCGCCGGAGCAAGGTCGAATCCTCTTCCCGGCCGTTACGAACAACGAACGTTTCCGATTCATCGATAACGAGACGATAAAACGTCCAGGAGTATCGGCCCGCTCGAGCGGCCGAGCGCGTTCACCGATGCCTCGATCCCTGCGCGCGATTCGTAGCGGAGAGGCCGGAGGAACTTTCGCGCGTTCGTCACGAGAAGCGCCGTCGTGACGTTAATAGGGTCAGCGCGAGAATCGCTCGAGCGAGATTAATGTTCGACTTCGGTGCGTCGATAAGGCCTCGGGATGCGGTGAATTTTAAGTAGCCGCTGGATTACCAGTCCGATCCAGGCAGCTCGCGCACGTCCGAGACAACGAACCCGATGCGAGGAGGCCTCTAACGAGGAATCAGCATCGCCGCGATATCCGAGTCCGGATATTTCTCTCAGCGAAAAACGTTCACGACGAAACACGAACTCGAGAAATTCGATTCGAACCGTCGAACCGTTTCTTCCACGATGCGCCGTGCAAGGACGGCCAACAAAAATCGCGATTTCCACGAGCGAATCGAAAGGAGAGGTGCTCGCGCAACGGCCTGTCGGTGGAAACCGAGCCTGATCTACGGGTTCCGACGAGAAATCGCGAGAGTCGGACGCCGTCGGAGCTCCGCGGTTCGGATTTCTCCACGAAAATGCAAAGTAGCTGTGTCGGAGGCGACCGATGTATACGCGCGGCTCGATTCCTCTAACGAGCTCGGCGCTCGTATCGGTCCGCGCGCTCGCCTTTAACGAGCGATCCCGAAGAGACGCAGCACAATGGTCCATTTGTCCGAAAAGCTGGCCAAAATAGAAAGATTCTAGTAAAAAAGTAACTCCGACGTTAGATTCCAGGGTCAAAAAACCTATGAAACGCGTACCGAATAACGCATTACTGACAAGGACACAATATTTCCGCCACGTTTTCGGGCAAATGGAGCGTCGCTCAACGTTCCGGTTCAATCGAAAACGATGCTACGCTCTCAACCTTTCGATTCGCGAAATTGTTCCCGCGTTTATCGACCGATCGAAGAGTACCTCGGAGAGCAGAGTCGGCAGCCGCTAATGGTGGCCGCGATTCGTACCATTGGTTTTCGCGAACGATGGACCTCGAGCGCGAGCGCCCGACGCGTTTTCCGAAAAGGCGCGACGCGAAAACGGCTCGATTACGAGCGAAACGAAACGGTATTCGATTCGAGTGCGGTCGAAAGGGAAAAACGAATCGTCCGGCTGAAACGAGCGCTTCTTGCGACGATAAATCGAGCGATAGATTTACTGGAACGGTGTGCTGGTAAGAAGCGCTCTTCGAGGAGGTCTAATCTTCGCGAAGACGCGTTAAGGGGACGGGCTCGCGATTCCACGGCCACCTTCCGAGAACGAAACGGAGGAACGGATTATCGCGAGGGAAGCGACGACTTCGCGACACGACGACGACAACGGAGAAGCGGGGAGGCGCAACGCGATAGTTCTCGCGGTGATCCCAAGATTTGCCCGGCACCGCAACGCCGAGACCCAATTTTCCGCGCCAAGGGGCAAGTCGGAAGGCGGGTCGAAGCAGCGGCCGATCGAAGAAGCGGTCGCCGCGTTGCTCCGTTTTCCGGGAGCCATCAACGTCGCACCGAGCAGCGGTCCGGATTTACGAGCTCCTCGAATCGCGAGCTAAAGTCGTTGCTCGCCACGCCGCGGCGTGTCTCGAAAGTGTACCGAGCAGGAAACTGGACCGTTCCACGGTCGTGCTTCTCCGCTCGAAGAAACTCGCGGTCGCTTCCTGCTCTTCAATCTCCGCGACCGATACGTTCGACGGATAACCGACGAACACCACGAATCGGTGAGAGCACCCAAAATTTCGCCCTGACACCTTTTCTATTGACATCTTAGCCTTTCTAGCTTCTGCTCAGACTTTTACCTTTTGTATATACCATCTGTAAACCTCCAACTCGTCGCAGCGTTTATCGTGCGGGTCTACCAGGAAAACGTGTCCACTGATAAATCCACTGGTAGATCCACGAAACGCTCTCTTCCTCTCTCTCTCTTTGAATCTTTTGCAGTTCCGTCCTCCTTTCATAACATTACAGCCTGCTTTATTTTTCGCCGACACGATATGCAACTCGCACTGGCGACGAATCGTCCGAGATCGACTTTCGTCGTGTTTAACGTTTAACGACGCGACGCGATGGTACTTTCACTGTGTTTGTCTCTCCGAACCGACCGCGGCAACGTATCATTATTATTATCTTCCCAGAGTCGAGGAACCTCCGGAGTCGGGGCGAGATTTAAAGCGTAGTTAGGACCACGTCCGCGGCGTTCCCGCTCGGGGAAATTCTCGAACGGAACCACGGGACCAGTTCTCATGGCCCGTTCGGCGGGCTCTCGCGAGAGGTTCCGCGGATGATCCGCTCGGCGGGCATCGAGTCTAGAGAGGATTTTCGCCGCGGAATAAAGTTCTAACCGAGACTGAAAGCGGTAGTCTCCCGAACTCCATAGAAAGTGTACACTTTCACCGTGATGTCTCCTGTGCCACGGTCCGTGTGACGCGCGACGAAGCGCCCCTTTCGAGCTTGCGCCCATAACACTTCGAGGCGTACGAGATGGCAACCGTGCGGTCCGGCCGAGACATTAAC